ATACAGCAGATCACTGTAAGTCATATGTAAATCCTTATTCCGAAGTTGTGATCCCTCAAATCTCAGGGACACCTTAGCTCTGGGAGGCTTCATTGCCGTTTGGTTCAGGGAAATTTATTGTTTCTAGCTGTGGAGTTAAAGCCATTGCCGTGTTATTTTGTGTGGCGGTATTTTGTATGTTATTGGGTCTTTTGCAATTTTTCCTGTTTTTATCACTTGACGTGATGGAACCGCTGCAGTGGAACTCATCTCGGGAGGGCAGGAGAGCTCTGCGGGTCATTGTGTGGGATTCCACCTTGGCTTGTGTGTTGCCTTGGAGTCACTATCAACAGGTTTTGAGCGTTTCAAATACCCCTGGCAAGTTTCGAAGTAAGTTTCGTGGGCTTGTTCTTCTCCATTGTCTGGATCTGCTGTAGAGGGAAACGTCTGGTAGCGACCCCGCTGGCCCTGGTGACATACACAGCACCTGCACACACCCCACCAGTCCCCGGGACAGGCACTGATCCCGTGCCGACTGTGAGAATCTGGATGTGAGAACTGACAGAAACCAGGATGTCTCAAAGATCACTTGCTGCAAGATATCTACCACCTGGAGAACAGAAGGCTCTGGGGAGACCTTATAGTGGCCTTCCAATACCTGCAGGGTGCCTATAGAAGAGCTGGAGAAGGACTCTTTGCCAGGAAGGGTAATGATAGGACAAGGGGAAACGGTTTTAAATTGGAAGAAAAAAGATTCAGATTAGATCTCAGGAAGAAATTCTTTACAGTGAGGGTGGTGAGACACTGGAACAGGTTGCCCAGAGAAGCTGTGGCTGCCCTATCCCTGGAGGGGTTCAAGGCCAGGCTGGATGGGGCCTTGAGCAACCTGGGCTGGTGGGAGGTGTCCCTGCCCAGGGCAGGGGGTTGGAACTCGATGATCTTTGAGGTCCCTTCCAACCCAAACCATTCTATGATTCTATGATATAACGTCCAAGGAGGTACGTCCTTGGTTCTCAAAACAACTACATCTTGTTTGCCCCAAGAAACTTGCACTGCCCAGGGGGCAGAGGGAAGGGGGGCTCACACAGCAACCCTGCCGGACAGTAACTGGACAACTGGAGAGGTATCCAGTGCACCTGGAATTGAGTGTCCCAGGGGTGGAAACACGGCTCCACCATTTGCCATGGACTGGTCCAGGTTGTCGGCCCCACCATTTGCCATGGACTGGTCCAGGTTGTACTGGGGAAGGCTGGAGCTCCAGAACGTCTGCAATACGTTGGTGACATCATTGGGTGGGGTAATACAGCTGAAGTTTTTGAGAAAGGGGAGAGGGCAATTCAAATCCTTCTGGAAGCTGGTTTTGCCATCAAATAAGGTAAGGTCAAGGGACCTGCACGAGAGATCTGCTTTTTGGGAGTTAAGGGGCAAGATGGGCATTACCACATCCCAACGGACATGACTAGTAAAATAACAGCCATGTCACCACCTACTAACCCAAAGGAAACACAAGGCTTTTTAGGTGTTGTGGGTTTCTGGAGAATGCGTATTCCTGGTTACAGTCAGATCGTGAGCCCTCTCTATGAAGTGACTCAAAAGAATGATTTTAAGTGGGGCCCTGAGCAGCCACCAGCCTTTGAACAGATTAAACAGTCTTCTGTTGATGCAGTAGTCCTTGGGCCAGTCTGGACAGGACAAGAGGTAAAAAATGTGCTGCACACCACAGCCAGGGAGAATGGCCCTACCTGGAGAGACTTGAGGCCAACCCCTAGGGTTTTGGAGTCAAGCACAGAGGATCAGAAGCTCGCTATAAAACCACTGAGAAAGGGATATCAGCAGCACATGGAGTTCAAGCTGCTTCGGAGGTAATTGGTACTGAAGCACAGCTCCTCCTGGCACCTCATTGCCAGTGTTGAACCGGATGCTTAAGGGGAAGACTCCTTCCACACATCACACAACTGACGTGACATGGAGTAAGTGGGTAGCACTAATTACTCAGCGAGCCCAAACAGGGAACCCAAATCGTCCAGGAATTCTGGAGGTGATCATGGATTGCCCGCAAGGCACAGACTTTGGAGGATCCCCAGAAGAGAGGGTGGTGCGGGCTGAGGAGGCACCACCTCTTCAGTTATCCAAAAGTGAGAGGCAATACCTGCTGCTCACTGGTGGATTTCTTCGTATGGTGGGAACCCAGGGCAGGTGGAAAGCTTCCATGTGGAGTCCTACTCCATGGTCATGGAAGCAGCTGAGGGAGCGGGAGAGTCAAGTCGGTCCGCAGGAGTGAAAGCCATCCAGTTGGCTTTAGATACTGCTAAGTGAGAAAGGTGGCTGCTGCTTTATCTCTCTCTGACTCATGGATGGTGGCACATGCTTTATGGGGCTGGTTAAAACAGCAGAAGTAGAACAACTGGCAGCGCAGGAGTAAACCCATTCGGGCTGCTGAACTGTGGGAAGATATAGCTGACTGGGTAGGGAAACTGTCTGTGAAGGTACATCATGTAGGTGCCCGTGTACCCCAGAGTCAGGCCGCTGAGGAACATCAGATGAGGCTGCTAGGAAGAGTCCCAGGTAGACTTGGACTGGCAACGTAAGGGGGAATTATTCATAGCTCGGTGGGCCCATGACACCTCAGGGAAGAGATGCACCATAGAGATGGGCTCATGACCACAGGGTGGTTTTGGCTGTGGACATTAGTGCACAGATCATCCATGAATGTGAAATGTGCTGAAATTCAGCAGGCCAAAGAGTCAAAACCTTTGTGGTATGGAGGACAACGGCTGAAACATGAGCATGGCGAGGCCTAGCAAATTGACTATATCGCCCTTCCACCACCATAAAATGGTTTGGATTGGAAAGGACCTTAAAGATCATCAAGTTCCAACCCCCCTGCCATGGGCAGGGACACCTCTCACCAGACCAGGTTGCTCCAAGCCCCATCCAGCCTGGTCTTGAATACTTCCAGGGTGGAAGTAGCCACCAGACTGCTGGAAACACATGCTGTGTCTCAGGCTACTGCTTGTAACACTATTTTAGGCCTTGAAAGTCAAGTCCTGTTGGGACATGGTACTCCAGAGAGAATCGAGTCAGACAATAGGACCCATTTCTGAAAGAATCTCATAGGCACCTGGGCTAAAGAACATGGTCTTGAGTGGATGCATCACATCCTGTCACACACCAGCCACTAGGAAAGTCAAACCATGTAATGAACTACTGAAGACTACCTGAAAACGATGAGTACTGGGACATTTAAAAAGTGGGATGAGCACTCGGCAAAAGCCACCGCGTTAAGTCAACGCCAGGGGAAGTGTCAGCCCAGCTGGTTACGCTTCCACAGGGACCTTATCCCCTTCTACAGTAGGTAAAAGCTCTGACTAAGCACAAACCAGCTCAGAAAATGTCCTCAAATACCTTTCATAAAGCAGATACTTCATTCTTCAAAACTTTTTTTAGCAAATGTTAGTAATGCTGTACCACAGACTCTCTCTCAGTCACACATGTTCTTCCTGAGGCTGTTCTGTAACTTGGGATTTTAAAAATCAACATCCAACTGTGTACTTGAGGCAGATTTTCCCCTTTTTAAAGGCTAATAATAGTGAAAAGCCGCAAGTACTACAAAACCAGGCAGACCTGCTTGTTCTTGCCAAAGAGAAAAAGATTAAGCATTACTAAAGACAGATGATAGTCTTATTTTTTTAAGTACCCATAAAGCTATGAACATGAACTGTATGATGTCGTGTTAGCATCAATATTTGAACTCGGGCACACAAAATATCCGTCACTTGAATTCCAAACTCTACGAATTAATTGCTGGGACATTCCCCAAGGATAAAATATTTATTAAAAGCCAACAGTAATCCAGAAATCTCTTTCCATTTCATATGGTAAAAATATATATATATAGTGAATCTTGAAAAAAAAGGAATAGATATTAGACAGGGAAAGCCTATATAGTTATAGGGCAAGCAAATGAAAGCAGTAAATGTTTTATTTTTTTTTATTTATTTATTTCATCAGAATTCTTAGGCAAACATGGAAACATTTGCAACAGCAATACTTGGGTCAGTTTAAAATCTTGCTAACACAAATACAGGTCAGCAAAAACTAAGGATGTAGAAAAAACTACGGATTTCTTCTTCTGGTGGCAGGAAGACGAAGCATGTCCTGTCCCTGTGAGCCTATACTCGACCCTGCCTGTCTACAGTAACAGGAGGCACCTGCAACTCTTCTCCAAAGACTTTTACAGATAGAAATCCGTTGAGTAGTGTATTAGGGAGGCAAAAGCTGCAGTGGACATGATTTAGAATCAGTCACCTTTCGTCCATCGTGACAAAATAAAAAGAGCAACGTCATAGAAATTCTCCTGAAGTAGTAATTGCTCCAAATATCTGTCAAGTTTTTATACCACAGGAGAGCAGCTGCAGCCAAAAGAACCTTTACTCTAAAAGGACTGCTCCCAACTTGCCAAGCAGCTCCCAGTTTGATTAACTATCCACAGCACCACTTAGTGGTGGAAGCAGACTCACTGCTGACATGAGTCTAATGCCAGACTTCTTCCTGGTGGGTTTTTTTTTTAACCCCCTGAAAAAGAAATAGGTCTGGTCTTTGCTTGCCAAATACCACTATAAGAAACTTTACTATAAGAAAGTATACCTATCTAGCACAAGAAGTCCAAAAGAGATGATCCTCAAGGCCAGTAGAATCAAAGGCTGCTGAACACCAAACAGATGCATCCACTTGGAAGTGCTTTCAGAATTGTGCAGCACTCTGCCTCGTGGTTTCTGGTGACACAGCCTGAAGCAGTGTTTAAACAAATGATCCAGCTTAGCACCTGCCTGTACTCCAAAGAATAGCAATCTCGTGGCTCACAACTTGTGTTTTATGTAGACTCGGGCCATAAACAAATGTAACTGATGTAGAAAAACCTGAAGACTGGCAGCAACTGAAAAATAACTCTTATTTTTCCATTCCATCAACCAGTTATAAAACTACCTAACTTGTGTGCTTACATACCAGAACACAGTCACTAACAAAAAGAAAGCCTTTTATTCAGAACAGATTACTGCATCTTTACAAAAAAAAAAGTCATTATTTCAACTTACAAAGTCAGCATTATCATTAGCAATGCACCTTTCCTGGAGAGGAAATCCTTGTCTTATCAAATGTCAACTGCAAGAATGTGAAAACAAAACAAAACCAAACAAATAACTCGCACCAAAACCCACCCACACCCATACCCCAAAAAGCTCTATTTAGATTTTTTTATATATACACATATATATAAAAAAACATGTCTTCATAGATGACAACTGTATCATTTTATACTTCAGGTCCTTCTCCTCCAGGAACCAGCTATAAAAGAGTAAGACAATTTTGTGTTAGTGCCATAGATTTGAATTTTGCAAACCCATATGTGACAGTTCTTGTTTTACAGCATTTTAGTAGATGGAGGCTTCGTAGTAAACCCCAAAAGTTTTTAGATTCTGCCAACAGAGGAGTCAGTCAGTGCCAGAGAACCACATGCCAAAAAGAATCTTCAAAATACAAGAATGTTTAACAAAACACAAAGGAGTTCCCAGGTAACACATATTTTAGCTTTTTGTCCTTGTTATTCACTTCAAAGAGATGATTCTGACTAGAAACACTACAGCTCATTTTCAAAAGGACAAAGAACATCCTTCCTTTCATGAAGAATTTCTCCAGTTGCTGATTCTCCCCCAGACTGTCACTATACTGGGAAGCTGGTTTCCTCTTTCCAGCTTCTATTGCTAAGCAGAGCCCAAAAACTAATAAAGAGTCTGAACCCTTCTACAGGCAGCAGGTATAAGTCAGTGTAACATTCTACTATTAAGAAAGTAAAGAACTGAACAACCGAGAAATAAATACAAAAGAACGAATACGAATAAAGGGGGGGAAAGAGGAGGATAACCATTTATTTCCCTGATATGTTCTTGATAATTAGGTGAGCACTTCTAAAGACAAAAAGCTTTGCTGCTTTTGGGGCTGAAGTAAAAAAAACAAAAGTCTGAAGCATAGTCCTCCTGACATGGGAAGATACGTCCCCAAAAGAGACAGAGATCTAATACAGAAATATATTTATGTCTTGCTGAAAATTTGCACTCTAAGACTCACAGGCTCCTGCCTCAAGGCCAGTGTACCTCCAGTTTAACTGCTCAGAGCACACACTGTCCTCTAAGGATGCAGAATGACAACCAACGCAGAAAAAGGCTTCCAAACCAAGTCAAGATGGCCCTTGGTCAGACACACACTGAGGAGGTGCAAAGTAGGTAAGGCAGGAAAATGGAGATTATCCCTCATTCACACAGAGCCCACCTACACTCAAGTCAGTATTCCTCTTCCCTTCCCACAAAATTAGGAATACCCTTATGTAGGAAATCCAGACTTTGTAGCCATCTATGCAGACAAGCAAAGAACTACTGTGGGTCTGCTTTTGTGGCACTTAGGCAGTTGCAGAATTCACCTTAGGGATGCATAATCACAATACTTAATTACTGTTTCAGTACTGATCTACATACATCAGCACATGATAAACAAAAAAATCATAGTGCTTCCAATTTGGTATAATCCAACAGACCTCCAGATTTTTTTTCAGAGCACATAAAAGTACAACTCTCTGGGCGTCGCATGGTATCATAATCAACAAGTGACTTGACGAGCTTGTAAGCATCCCAAACTGCTGCAAACACATTCATAAATACCATAACGGATGAAGTGTAGATGTATTCCACCTATACCCTCAAGCAGGCAAGCACTCACGAGTTATAAGCCACTGTACAAACCAGCCTACAGAGTGGGCAAAGCAGCCAGTGATTTCCTTGCACTCCAGAAAGGCATTCACCAAAAGAAAAGTAGGGCCATGCTCTTTTCAGGTTTTGGTTCTGTTTTGCCTTTTTTTTTTTTTAAATATATAACTGTAACACACACCAACTGAGGCAATAAGATCACTTTTCCAGCATCACTCATAAGTACCCATGCCCTGGAAGTTACCTTAAAGTACCTTATGTAATGGAACTGTCTGGAAAACTCAGCTTGAAGCAGCTGAACTCAATTACTGATCAATTTACAGGCACAGAAAGTAAATGCATGCAACCTTTTAACAATGATGACTTACCATTGTTATGTTATTTCCATTTAGCAAAATCTGGTCTAGTTTTGTGATTCTTCTGCCCTCAGGTGTAATCTCACTGAAGCAGCATTAGAAAAAATAAGTAAGAACACATAATCAGGGACAATGCTTCCAATTCCGATTACAGAACTGACAAATCTCTGCGTTAAGATGATATTTGTTGCAACTAACAAACAAATAAGGCACACTGGTGTGTAACCTTGATGAATTGACCAGCTGGGTAAAGAAAGCTACCTGGCAACAAAAAAGATCCATTGCACTTTTCTGCTCAGTACATAGTGATATACATTTACCCTCTAAATCTTGGCAAATCCTTGAATACCACCAATACTCAAAATAGGTTTCAAATAGCAACGTGGCATGACAAAGTAGTAAATATGTATCCTTAAGTCCGTTAACTTTTTAAAACTTTGCCTAGACCTTAAGGAAATGCAAAAGCAAACAAACTCCTGGAAAGCTCAACATACAAAATTCAGACTACAAATTAGGAATCTTAGAGCGGGAAATGCAAAAGCAAGCAAACTCCTGGAAAGCTCAACATATAATTCAGACTACAAATTAGGAATCTTAGAGCAACTATAATTCACACAAGAGCTACTCTATGACATGGCTGTCCTGAATAGATTGCCCTCCACTGCATAAGTCCAAAGTATAAACTATTCAGCTGGCAAATATTCCAAAAAGATAAAACTACTTTGCTTACAGATCTTACACAGCATTTTTCCTCAGGAAACCAAACTTTAAGCAGCAACAAGAGGCAGAAATGATACTTACAATTCTGTAACATCTTCTAACACCATATCTGAAAACCCAGTTTCAAGGAAAATAAGGCTCAAAATTTTGAAGTCAAAATATTTAAAGTTATTTTCACTCTACACTGAACTGTGATTTAATCCGTAAAACAGAAATATCAGATTTATACAACTGTTCCATACAAAAAGGTTCTACCCAGTGACCTGGAACCTCTCAAAAGCAATGAATGGATGGAGCCGAGGTGTAAAGCATAAAAAAAAAAAAGCGTAAAAAAGTCTTGAACATTTCCATGGAAGGATACTAACAAAGTCATCAAACCCCAGGAGCGTTCCCACAATTTCTTTATCGCTCTTCATCACAATATGGATGCGCGAACCTATGCATTTGTCCACAAGCTCTGCGAATAAATAAAAAAAAATCGAAAAGTGTGAGAAGATGTTTTACAGAAGATATATTTTTCGAACCAAAGGGCCCACCCCGCAATGACAGGGGGGGCCGTGTCCCGCCCGCACCCCCGGCGCCTCAGGATTTCTCCCTCTTTGGCCGATACGGCCGGACCCAGCGGCCACTCCGCCCCCAGCACGACCGAGGGCGCAGGCAGGCCCCGTCCCACGCCGCCGCACCCCCACCGACCCCGGCCAGGCCCGGGAAACGCCCGCCCTCACGGCCCGCCCGCCCCATTGGAGCTTCCCGCCACACGCAGGTGCCCGCAAACGGCCTCTCCCTCCTTCCTTTCTTCCTTCCTTCCCTTCCTCCCTGCCCGCCGGTCACAGGAACAAACACTCCCCCCGCCCGCCAGGCCCCGGGCCCGGGCCCCGGGTATCATAGAAACACGGCGGCGGTTACCGAGCGGCAGGAGCTGAGAGGGGTTGGTGGTCACGTTAGCCGCCATCTTGGACCCAGACCTGTCCAATCGCTGCCGCCTCCCGCGGAAACCGGCCCGGCAGCCCCGACGAGCCGATGCCCGACCCGTCGTCCCGCCCCTCCCCTCCGGCCCCGCAGCGCCCCTTAGACTCCGCCCCCTGTCGCCCTGGCCCCGCCCCTTCCCGTGTTCCCGGCGGGGCGGGGCCGGGCGGAGCCGCCGTGAGTGCCGAGCGCAAAGGGAAGCCTTATCCCCCTCCCAGCCCGGGTGTACTCCCACCCTGCGAGTGCGGGGCCTGAGGCGGGACATCTCCCGTGTCACAGCTGGGATATGCGCTGCTGGGGGGGTTGGGCGGGAAGGGACCTCAAAGCCCCCCCAGTGCCACCCCCTGCCATGGGCAGGGACACCTCCCACCAGACCAGGTTGCTCCAAGCCCCCTCCAACCTGCCCTTGAACCCCTCCAGGGATGGGGCAGCCACAGCTTCTCTGGGCAACCTGGGCCAGGCTCTCACCACCCTCACACCAAACAAGTTCTTCCCCACATCTCAGCTCCATCTCCCCTCTTTCGGGATCAAACCCTTCCCCCTGCTCCTAGGGCCCCCCTCCCTCATCCAGAGTCCCTCCCCAGCTTGTAACCTGTCTCCCTTGCCTGAAGTACTTGGAAGGTACAGACTTCTCAATCCGCCTCCCCTTGCCTGAGGTACTCGGAAGGTACAGACTTCTCAATCCGCCTATTACATACAAGTTTAACTTTTGTGTTTTTATAATTGTCTAACTTTTGAATTTTTGGTTAATTTCCCTATTTTTTTGTTATCTCAGTCCTGCAGTTTCAATTAACTCTCCTATTTCCTTCAGTTACCTTACTCTTGCAATTTAAATTAACTTCCCTGTTTGTGGAGACAATCATATCTGTATTTTTTCACCAGTTTGTGGGGACGCTCTTATCCCTACCTTACCAAAATGCAAAAAAAGTACATTTATTCCCGTTACTTTGCCAAGGGGGGATTCCCCCCCGTAGTGGCATCCCGGAGGGCGAGGGCACCGGCGCTGCGGGGCTCGGTCCGTGCCCGAGGGTCACCAGCCCTGCTCTTTTCCCCTGTTCCATCAGAGATTGGTGCAGGCTGTGCTCCCATCGGTCCCACAGCCGTGCAGGAATCTCAGGTACCTTCCACGCTCTATCTCTGGCCTGCGTTATCCAAACAGAAATGTTCTACTTGTCAAGCGCACCAGGATAAACAACAATGAACAGGATATATATGTTCTTCTACACCCCAGCTGCAAGTCACGCGAGCATCTTCATAATCTTCTTTGCTACTCCTCTGTTTTTATCCCGCAATGACCCAAAGTGAATTTTATACCTGGAGCTTCTACCATATGTTAGTGAATGTTAAATTGAATCTGTTTAACACAAAATTGTGGGGTTTTTCATTCTTCTCCCTTCAGTTTCCTCCTCCTTTCTGTTCTCTCATTAGCTGAGCCTCAGAGATTGCAGTTCAGTGTTTCAATGGGGACAGCTACTCACTAGTCTTTTTTTTGTTTGTATTTATTCCCGTTACTTTGCCAAGGGGGGGATTCCCCCCTGTAGTGGCACCCAGGAGGGCGAGGACACAGGCAAGGAGACCAGCGCTGCGGGGCTCGGTCCGTGCCCGAGAGTCACCAGCCCTGCTCTTTTCCCCTGTTCCATCAGAGATTGGTGCAGGCTGTGCTCCCATCGGTCCCACAGCCGTGCAGGAATCTCAGGTACCTTCCACGCTCTATCTCTGGCCTGCGTTATCCAAACAGAAATGTTCTACTTGTCAAGCGCACCAGGATAAACAACAATGAACAGGATATATATGTTCTTCTACACCCCAGCTGCAAGTCACGCGAGCATCTTCATAATCTTCTTTGCTACTCTTCTGTTTTTATCCCGCAATGACCCAAAGTGAATTTTATACCTGGAGCTTCTACCATATGTTAGTGAATGTTAAATTGAATCTGTTTAACACAAAATTGTGGGGTTTTTCATTCTTCTCCCTTCAGTTTCCTCCTCCTTTCTGTTCTCTCATTAGCTGAGCCTCAGAGATTGCAGTTCAGTGTTTCAATGGGGACAGCTACTCACTAGTCTTTTTTTTGTTTGTTTTACATTCCTGGAAAGCTGCTTTTTTGAAATGGTCCAATACGTTTCAGTTGCTGGAGATCTGAATGCTGTAGTTAAGGTACCCCTGAAACAGCAATGGCCTTCCACGCTCCTTCCACGCTCTCTTCCGAAAGTGGGAGAGGGCCAACCAGTCTCCTCCTGTGGAGCACTCTTAGTCTTTACAAAAATTGCCAGAAGCATCATCTATGTGATGGCCATTGCTACCCAAGAACTGGTCTAACGTGAACACATACAAGGTACCACAGAGTTCAATTAATCTTTGTTTATGCTTCAGGAAATGAAACAAGCACGGTAACGCAGAAAACATCCCTCATACCAACAGAAGCTGAAATGAAGAGCAGTAACTCATTGTAGGTGCTCTTCCATCTCTTTTTCTGAAAGATCTGCATGGTTTTGAGATGCGTCCTTTCTCCTTAGGATGTCCAAGAGCCGTTCACATGGGGATGTTCGCAGGATCAGTTCCTGTGAAGGAATTAATCATCTAGGTTGCAAGGTTTGCAATATTTACCAGTCACTTTCTTGTCAAAGACCATTGGGAGATGTGCGTTAGTTCGATGTTTGTAGAAGAGCACAGTTTTGCCATCGCCTGGTTCAGAGTTAGAGCAGGGGGAAGATCTATGAAACAAAGTCTTCTTTAAATAACTCCAGGGACTGGAGAGGAAGGTGGTTGGGGAAGGGGAGGAGGTAGCTGTGTCACAGGGAGAACTGCTGCAGGAATGGAATGACAATCACTGGAACCACAGCCACACATCCTTCCCAAGGGAAATGTTTAGTTTGGAGAAGAGGAGGCTGAGGGGAGACCTCATTGCCCTCTACAACTCCCTGAAAGGAGGGTGTAGAGAGGTGGGTGTTGGCCTCTTCTCCCAAGGGAATAATGCCAGGAGCAAAGGAAATGGTCTGAAGTTGGGGCAGGGGAGGTTTAGATGAGATATTGGGAAGAATGACTTTCCTGAGAGGGTGGTCAGGCCCTGGAAGAGCCTGCCCAGGGAGGTGGTGGAGTCACCATCCCTGGAGGGATTTAAGAAACATGTAGACGTGGCACTTCAGGGCATGCTCTAGTGCCTGGGATTGTTGGGTTGAGGGTTTTTTTGTGTGTGTATGGTTGGACTTGATCTCAAAGGTCCAGCCCCTCAAGGTCTTTTTTGTGGGAAGGGGCCCAAACCTGGACACAGCCCTCGAGGTGAGGCCTCACCAGTGCCCAGTCCAGGGGGACCATCACCTCCCGAGTCCTACTCCCCACGCTGTTCCTGACACAGGCCAGGATGCTGGTGGCCTTCTTGGCCACCTGGGCACACTGCTGGCTCATCTTCAGCCCACAGGCCACCAACACCCCCAGGTCCTTTTCTGCCAGGCAGCTCCAGCCACTCTGCCCCCAGCCTGGAGCGCTGCAGGGGGTTGGTGGGACCAAAATGCAGGACCTGGCACTTGGCCTTGGTGAACCTCATCCCATGATACTTCCAGATATAAGCTATCTTTCTGCCCAGGTAAAGCTTACCCACCCCAGGAAGCCTGACTGCATGTCAGCCACGCTGAGAACTCCTTGTTATGGCTACGGAATGCAGAATGACTGCCAAATTACCACTACTGAAGTAATGATACAATGGCTGGTGGTTCTTAAGTAAAATACTACCTCTGAGTGATGGAAGAACTGTAGAGCTGGGTTTTCATTGCTATTTGTTAGCTACGCACTAAGAAAGAAAATTCCTTTAGGAAAATTCCAACTGAGACTTTCCCAAGAGCTTCCGTTCCACAGCGGCTCTCGCCTGCCTTTCTCATAAATACAGTCAGCGTGAGCTGTGAAAAAGAACATAGATTATGTCAACCAGCTAGTTTTCCTAAAACAGGCTGTTGTTGTCAGCCCAACCTTTTAACTGCCTTAGCGGTAAAGAAAATTTCAAGCAGAAAAAATAAAATAATATCTAATGGTCTATTCAGAGAGGCCACAAGCCACCATTATCCACCAGCATGGGAGAGATGCCTCTATAACACGAAACCCACAGCAGCGAGAGCGATGCCAGGCTGCGCCTCCCTCCATCAGCTGCCTGGGAGCTAGAAACACTCCCACACGTCTTTTGGGGGAGATCTCATCGCCGCAAGAGATAACGGCCAATATTCCATACCTTTTCCTTTTTTGAAATGATACTAAAGTTACACACTAAAGCTAATAAGAAATCATTCATTCGCCGGAGCTGGATTGTTCCGTGCAGCTTAGCCTGTGGTCCCTACAGTGTTATTTTTTCTCTAACGGCACTTCTGTTGGAGCAATACGTAATTGCATGCTGTATTTTTATTATTTGAGCCTCTGGGTACTGTGTTAGCGATGAGATTTTCTTCCAGCACCATTCTTTTACACTTATTTCAAAAAGAACCTCTTCCCCCGATTTCCGCTGAGAATCTTAATTATCAAATGAGCACAGTCTCTAGCAAATGCTTATTGATTTAAATAAGCAGAACTGAATCGTAACAAAGGTTAAGAGGGAGCCTGGCCTGAGTGCAGTAAGATACAGGATTTTTTACATTTTTTTCTCTCATTCTAGATTTGCCAGTGCTCTTGGGCAAGACTTTGACCTGCCTTTCGAGGGCATGGTCATGTAAGTTTAGCGGCAGAACAGCACTGATGGGAAAAGCCTTAACTCGATTTTTTCTCATTTTTCTCATTTTTAACCTTCTTCGAGAGACTTGCCACAGCCAAGGCTGACCCCCTCCCGGCCTTCATTTTGTGCTGCTGCTAATTGCTGAGGGAACTGGGGTTATTCAGCCTGGAGAAGAGGAGGCTGAGGGGAGACCTTATTGCTCTCTACAACTACCTGAAAGGAGGGTGTAGAGAGATGGGGGTCGGTCTCTTTTCTCAAGTCACAGGCGACAGGACAAGAGGAAATGGCCTCAAGTTACACCAGGGGAGGTTCAGGCTGGATATTAGGAAAAATTTTTTCACTGAAAGGGTTATCAGGCATTGGAATGGGCTGCCCAGGGAGGTGGTTGAGGCCCCATCCCTGGAGGTGTTCAAAAGACAGGTTGATGTAGTGCTTAACCTGCACAGCCTCACTCTGGAAGGCGGCAGCCCCAAGGATGTGCCGTCACCTGCGCTTCAGGGGGAGGCTTCGAGAGAAGATTTTTCCTCAGAAAAGCCGGCGCCCCCGAAGCAAAAGGCAGGGCTGGGCGGGGGCGCTGAGGGGAGGCGGGAAGGCCTCGGCCTGCCCCGGCCCGGACCTGCACCGCCTCACGCTGGAAGGCGGCAGCCCCAAGGACGTGCCGTCACCTGCGCTTCAGGGGGAGGCTTCGAGAGAAGATTTTTCCTCAGAAAAGCCGGCGCCCCCGAAGCAAAAGGCAGGGCTGGGCGGGGGCGCTGAGGGGAGGCGGGAAGGCCTCGGCCTGCCCCGGCCCGGACTCGCCCGGGGGCCGCCATGTGGGGTTTGGTTGTTGTTTTTTTTTTCTGGCCACAAGATAAAACGAAGCTGATTATTTCTGGGAGTCCCCTCCACGAAGCGACCTTTCCCAAGGAGCTCCCCGCGGAGCGGGAGGGCACAACCGGCACCGCCCGCCGCCGGGGACAGCTCCTGAGGGGCCGGGCCGCAGCCAAACCCCGCCCCGGCGGCGCTGGGGAGGGAAGGCGGGAGGGAGGGAGGCGCTGCGGAAGCGCAGGCGGCCGGGGCGCGTCCCCGTCGGACCCTCGGCGGCGGGAGGGCGGAGCGAGAGGCCGGTTGCATCCTCCGTGAGCGGCCATCCTCTGGGGCTCCATGGAGAAGCGGGGCCCGGTGCTGCACATCGTGGTGGTCGGCTTCCACCACAAGAAGGGCTGCCAGGTGAGGGGGGGGGGGGGGGGGGCCCCCCCGCGCGCCTCCCCGCCTGCCTCCTCGGCTCTCCCCTCAGCCTTGCGGCGGGGGGCGGGCGCGCCCCGAGGGGGAGGCTGCAACCCCTGTGGGAGGGGGTGCTTTGGGGGAGGGGGTGCTGTGTCTCAACGGGCCGGTGCGAAGCGCGTTAGGGCGGACATCGGCCGGGGCGGGTGTTCGCCGGGACCGGGGCGGAGGCTGCCCGGCCGGGGCCGTGACTCAGCCCTCGCCGGGCGGTTAATGGTTACCGGGCGGTTAATGGTTACCGGGCTGCCTACGTGACTGCGGCCGGCCCGGCCCCGCCGGGGCCCAGGCGGAGCGGGGAGAGCCTTCTCCTGTGCAGACAGGGCCAATGGTGGTGTGGTACCCCCACCTCCTGCGCGTCGAGCGGCCTTCGTGCCTTCAGGCCGAGGATTAAGAGAAAAAAACAATCATTTTTATAATCTACCTTCTATTCCTGCCGGCCCGGCGTTGGACTCGGGCAGGTAGGGCTGGCAGGCATCGGGCCTGGTGGCCCCAGCGTGTGGGCGGGGGCCGGCCGCGGCCCCGAGGGGGAGGCTGCAACCCCTGTGGGAGGGGGTGCTTTGGGGGAGGGGGTGCTGTGTCTCAACGGGCCGGTGCGAAGCGCGTTAGGGCGGCCATCGGCCGGGGCGGGTGTTCGCCGGGACCGGGGCGGAGGCTGCCCGGCCGGGGCCGTGACTCAGCCCTCGCCGGGCGGTTAATGGTTACCGGGCGGTTAATGGTTACCGGGCTGCCTACGTGACTGCGGCCGGCCCGGCCCCGCCGGGGCCCAGGCGGAGCGGGGAGAGCCTTCTCCTGTGCAGACAGGGCCAATGGTGGTGTGGTACCCCCACCTCCTGCGCGTCGAGCGGCCTTCGTGCCTTCAGGCCGAGGATTAAGAGAAAAAAACAATCATTTTTATAATCTACCTTCTATTCCTGCCGGCCCGGCGTTGGACTCGGGCAGGTAGGGCTGGCAGGCATCGGGCCTGGTGGCCCCAGCGTGTGGGTCTGCCCTTGGCTGAAGTTTCATCTGCCCATCTCTTCCCTTCTTTCATAAATCCACTGCTTCCTGGGGCCTGTATGGTAGAAAAATTCTGTGTTGTGTATTTCATAGGTGTTTTATAGCTGGTTTGGTTTTGGTTTGCTGCTGTCTTTTGGTTTTTTTTAACCCGTGGAGCAGGAGCTGGTGATGCTCAGCGGGGATGCACACAGCCTCTGCTCTGTCACAAAGGCAGACAGATAAAGTGCTGGACTCGCAGTGAGTCTTTTTCTGTGGAGCATTCTTAGTCTTTACAAAAATTGCCAAAACAGCAATTAATGTGGTGGTCGTTGTTATGCAGGAGTTGGTCTGACCTGGATGCATTTCATCCAGCGCACCGGAGAGTTAAATTACTCTTTGTTTATGCTTCAGGAAACAAAACACATACAGCATGGTAACATGTGAAACAATTCCTCATAGCAACAGAGGCTGAAGCAAAGTAACTCATCATAGGTGCTCTTCCATCTCTTTTTCTGAAAGATCTGCATGGTTTTGTAATGCATCCTTTCTCCTCAGGGTGTCCAAGGGCGGTTCATGTGGGGATGTTCGCAGGATCAGTTCCTATAAAGTAATTGGATCGTCTAGGTTGCAAGGTTTGCAATATTTATCAGTCACTTTCTTGTCAAAGACCATTAGGAGATGTGCGTTAGTTCGGTGTCTGCAGGAGGAAGAGCGTGTTTTTACCTTGTTGTTGGCCTCTTGGAAAAGACATAGGTTGAAGACAAAAGCAGAGGTGGCTTTTGTTATTTCTGCTCCTCTTTGGGGGCCTGTATTTCTCTACTTATAACATTATGCAGTGGTGCAAAGCAAAAAAAAAAAGCCACAACAAAACTATAAATTAGTAGTGGTGAATTTTATCTTGCTGCCAGTAAAATATTTCTAGAAGTACGTTTTTAGGTGGTGTTATAAATCAGGTTGGAATATCTCTGAACCAAAGTCAAGAAATGAACTGGAGAAGTTGGAGCAGAAGGTGGTGGGGGAAGGGGATGGGGTACCTGTGTCACAGAGGGAACTGCAGGAATAGAACGACAGTTTGGAAGAACCACAAACATGCAGGTGTCCTTCCTGAGGGAAATCTAAGCAGAAATCTAATTTTAAGTATGTTTTACCTCTGATTTAGCAGATTTGTTACTGAACTATAAAAATGGTTTCCTAAAAGAACTGGAGGCAGGGAGCTGCGCAGCTATAGCCTAATGAGTTTGACATCAGTAGTATGTGAGGCTCTAGAGAATTTGTTAAGGAAAGAATTAATTAAGAACATGAAGCTAAGTAGACTGAGTCCTACGGGCATTCACTAAAGATAGATTATCCCTGACTAGATCATGCCTGCATCTTTTGTAAGAATAAATGATTGATTTAGTTTCTTTGTAAAAGAAACAGAGTGGCTCGAATCTGCCTGGAACTTGATAACAAATCACACTGCACTACAAAAGAAAAAAAAAAGTGGCTTTCTCTTTAAGGTGGAGATATTGGAGAATCAGTACAAGAGCTGAAACTTGAGCGAGGAACTCATATGAAGGAGAAGCAGCAGCATCCGATTTGTGTAAGAAAAGGAACTGCTGGTCTGAAAGGTGTTTGCAAGGGGTGCTTCCCAGGATTAAATTTGAGCCCATGTAAGTGGCACTGGTGTTGTGTACACATTAAAATCTAACTATGGTGAACAAAGTGGAGGGAGCAGTGTTATAAAGGAAGACTGGAGTGTCTGTCATGCAAGAGCTGGATGATACAGCAATGATGGAAATGGGGTGCATTACAAAGTCATGCAATAGGAATGAATAATAACAGTATAGGCTTGGGAATTAGCAAGAGGAGACCTCTGGAAGAGAAAAGGAACCACATATGATCAAGGATAAGTCACAGAATCACCATGGTTGGAAGGCATCTCTGAGATCATCAAGTCATAGAAGTGGTGTGAACTGGGGGTGAGAGTGGCAACAAATGTAGTCCTATAGTGTAAAGATATGTTTAATGATGCATAAAAATTCTGATCCACCTTTCAGAAAAATGGATTTGGATTCCATCACTTTCAGGAATGGAGGAGATAGTCCTTGGGCAGTCTGTTTTCGAGGACGTAGAAGAGGTTAGCAAAGGCTAACAAAATGGATTTTGAAGCTGTATTCATATGAAGATTGCAAGCCATCTCTGGGAATATGGGAACATTCTCCTCTCTTCCTCTCATGCCTCTTTGCATCTGGAAAGCAGAGGTGTTTGTGTGGTGAGCTGAAATGGGGAATTAATGTGACCAGAAAATAAGCCTTGTTTTGGTGAGTTGTTTTTGAGGTGGTTGGTTCATAGGTTCTTTGTGCAGACTACACATCTGCAGAACACAGCAACACGGGCACAGGGAGACTAGTATGGGGGTGAAAAAAAATTGTGTCTTGAAAGTGGCAGTCTGGGACTTAACTTTTTGGTTGTCATGTTTGGTAATGGCCTTTGAAGTATTCATTGAACCGCAGGATCCCAGAATGCTATGGGGTTGGAAGGGACCTCTGGAGACCATCTAGTCCAACCCCCTGCCAGAGCAGGTCTACCCAGAGCAGGTCCCACAGGAACGTGTCCTGGTGGGGTTTGAATGTCTCCAGAGAAGGAGACTCCACCACCTCCCTGGGCAGCCTCTGCCAGGGCTCTGCCACCCTCACAGGAAAGAAGTTCCTCATGTTTAGATAGAACTTCTTACGTTCCAGTTTGTGCCCATTTCCTCTTGTCCTGTCCCTGGGCACCACTGAAAAAAGACTGGCCCCATCCTCCTGACACCCACCCTTGAAATATTTATGGGCATTGATCAGATCCCCCCCTCAGCCTGCTCTTCTCCAGACCAAAAAGACCCAAGTGCCTCAGCCTTTCCTTGTAAGAGAGATGCTCCAGGCCCCTAATTATCTTTATAGCCCTGCATTAAAACCATTGCATTATAGATAATTGTATTCAAGGAAGCTGTTGGAAAGTGAAAAGTGAAGAGGAAAAAACAGCCATTTAATGTGAAAGAGTGTGTTGGCACAAGAACAAGTGGATATGAGCCGTCTGCAGACCCACAGTAGATTGCATATGAGAAACTACTAATGGCAGAAAATAAAAGTTCTAAAGCAGCTTTTAAATGGCAGTAATGTAGAATGAATTTGGGGAGCTTATGAATGAGACATGATACAGCTAACCTGCCTGTCATACTAGGGATTTACCTGAGAAGACTCCTTTTGAGTTCTGTGTTTCCATCTCTTGTTTTTTCAAGTAGTCTTCCTCAGAAGTGCATACAGAGTTAGATGTTTGGATTAATTTCTTGGTGCTAGGTGTTTTCATTAGCTGACTTTCCCTCTGAAGTTGCTGTATGGAAGGGGACAGAAATACATATATGTGGGGTAAAGCTGATGTGTAACTTGAAACTGAGCTCTGATTGAAACTGGATTCTCTGTCTGGGATTGCTGTTGGTAAGGGACACAACTGGATTTTGACGTGTTCTTAGATAAGTGTTGTTCTGGTTAGATCATCAGGTCTGAAGTGTACAGCTCCTCCTGTTGATTAACTTACAGTATAAGAAATGTTTAACGTATAGAGCAAAGACTTTCATGTGCAGCTTGGAAATACATAGGAACATCTTTTTCTTGCATAGACTTTAAAACCAATCCCTACGCATTTGTTTATGAAAGAGAAGGAGAGTCAAGGAATTGGTCCGTTTCCTCGTGCCTTTTGCCTGATAGCATGAGCGTGATGGTTGGTCCATGTGCTCCTTCCAGGGACCCACTGTCAGACCATGAGTCTTCTTGCTGGGTGAGTAAGACAATGTAAGAAACAAGCTGAAGGTTTACTGTACTTAAGTTGTTTAGTCTGAGGATGCAGTTTCCCCTGCAATTGTTTAAAAACTTGGAGTTGCCACTCACTGTTAGGGAGGCTTTGTGCTGTGTGAAAGCAGCACGTTGCATTCTCCAACTAAAAATCCTGAC